GATTCTACTTGTGTTAAGAAAGGCAGAGGTAGACCTAGGAAGACTTGGGCTTATTTATTAAAAATGATCTTAATTTACTAGAACTAAATGAAAATATGACACTAAATAAAACGCAATGGAGAAAAAGGATTCATGTAGCCGACCCCACGTAGTGGGATTAAGGCTTTGTTGTTGTTGTTGTTGTTGTTGATGCATTTAGAGCTGCACTTGCACAATGTTGTATGCATTGTCCATTGTTTTCCCGTCATGTTCAATCAATTCTATCATAGCATCATTGCTCTATAATTTTGATGCTTCTATTTTATAAAATGAGAGATGTTTGAATAATTTTTAATACATTAAAGACATTTTGATCTAGGCCTTTGTTGATGTTAATATTTTACATTGTATCAAACATGGAGTATAGAAGGATTTCAAAATGCTCCTGGAAGGAGAAAAACATTTCGACTATGCTGATGCATAAACATGAAACCGACGAGATTATATTTCATAGCAATTCATAATGATTGGTGGGTATAAAAAATCTGAAAAAAAAAATATTAGCCATGAAAAGGAAATTCAAGTACATGTCAAAACAAACTCCATATATTTAATTTAGGAGTAATTGCATGCAATTAGAAATTCAAGTATTTTCTTATTTCAGTTGGTTTACATCAAGAATCAGCTTTAAGCTTAGATCTTTTTGTTTTAGTTATGGATATTTACAGAAGAATGTGCCCTGGTGCATGCTTTTTGCTAATGATAGCCTTCTAGTGGATAAAACTAGGGAGAGAGTTTAAAGGAAAAAAAAAACTAGATTTATGGACATCAACTTCACAATCTAAAGGCTTTCGTTTGAGTAGATCTAAAACTGAATGCATGGAATATAATTTTAGTAGTAGTAGATCCGGCGCGGGGAGAGGGGGGGGTGTTGTAACAATTGGCAACTAAGTCAATAATGTGTAATGTTTTAGATATCTCAGGTCTATTGTTCAAAGTGATGGTGATATAGATGGGGATATAGATGATGATATATAGATGGGGATGTTATTAGTAGAATTCAAGTTCGATGATTGAAGTGGAAGAATGTATTTGGTCTATAGTGTGATAGCAAAATACTGCTTAGAATTAAAGAAAAAATTTATAAGATGATGGTAAGATAAGCAACGCTTTATGGCGCAAAATGTTGGCCTGTAAAAGAGAAACATAGATTGTTGCCTAGATGAGAATGTTTTAGGTGGATGAGTGGCTTTACACTGACAAAATGAGAAACAAATATATACGTGAAAGGGTTGGAGTAGCTTTAGTGAAAAACAAGATTAGAGAGAGTCGACTTAGATGGTTTGGTCACATTAAATATTGATCATATAATGACCATATTAGGAGAGTTGATGTTTTAAATGACTTATGCAAAGAAAGATTGAGATAGATACAAAAAGCCTTGGGCATGTAGCATAAAAAATTATCTTAATGTATTAGAATTGAATGAAAATATAATACCCAATAGGAAAAAAATGAAGAAAAAAGATTCATGTTGTGAACTCTACTCTGCAGGACAAAGGTTTGCTGCTGTTGTTCTTGATACTTACATGCATATTTAATAAATGCAAACCAGCTTCACTAATCTTAAATCTATAATTCTATAACAAAACTTAAAGATAAATAACTTCTATATGTTATTTCCAATAATTTAGGAGTCATTAAGAAAAGAAAAAAAAATATTGATTATATCTAAGTCAATAAAATGTGTAATGTTTTAGATATCTCAGCTCTATTGTTCAAAGTGATGGTGATATAGATGGGGATATAGATGATGATGTATAGATGGGGATGTTATTAGTAGAATTAAAGTTCGATGGTTGAAGTGGAACAATGTATTTGGTCTATAGTGTGATAGCAAAATACCGCTTAGAATTAAAGAAAAAAATTATAAGATGATGGTAAGATCCGCAACGCTTTATGGCGCAAGATGTTGGTCTGTAAAAGAGAAACATAGTGTTGCCTAGATGAGAATGCTTTAGGTGGATGAGTGGCTTTACACTGACAAAATGAGAAACAAATATATACCTGAAAGGGTGTGAAAGGGTTGGAGTAGCTTTGAGTAGCTTTAGTGAAAAACAAGATTAGAGAGAGTCGCCTTAGATGGTTTGGTCATATTAAATATTGATCATATGATGACCCTATTAGGAGAGTTGATGTTTTAAATGACTTATGCTAAGAAAGATTGATATAGATACAAAAAGTCTTGGGCATGTTGCATAAAAAAATTATCTTAATGTATTAGAATTAAATGAAAATATAATACCCAATATGACCAAATGAAGAAAAAAAATTCATGTTGTGGACTCTACTCAGCGAGACAAAGGCTTGTTGTTGTTGTTCTTGGTAATTACATGCATATTTAATAAATGCAAACCAGCTTCACTAAATCTATAATTCTATAACAAAACTTAAAGATAAATAACTTCTATATGCTATTTCCAATAATTTAGGAGTCATTAAGAAAACAATAAAAAAATAATGATTATATTTAAAAACAATGAATGTAATAGAAATTAAAATTTCAAAGCTTTACTTTATTATCTTTTAGAATTCAGGAATCTTTTATATTTTCATTATGCACAAAGATTATATCAAGCCTAACAAACAAAATTACAAACCTCTAATTCTCTTTCTGTTGCCTCCTTTCGGAGAAGTTGAATACTATTTTGAGCATTCTCTAGTTCAGATAGGTTTTCCTTAAGTTGCCTGCAAGGAAATAAAAATTCATCATTAGCGACAACTTGTAATACAATAAATTAAGATGAAAAAGCCTATGAATCTAACCAAAAGAGGGAGAAATTAAGATGAAAAAGCCTATGAATCTAACCAAAAGAGGGCGAAATATACACTTTCACTTACATTATGCACATTCTTAGAAGTTTTAATTAGTATAAATATGTTTTCTTTTGCTATTTCATAGGGATTGTTTCGTAATTTAGGATCCTAGAGGTTAGAAGGGATACAATTCTATTTATACCAAACCCTTAAGAGAGTGAGGGGACTATTTTGGGATTGAGTTTTATTTCTAATTTCTTAAAATTGGTAAAGAATTTCCTATTTTGATGTTGGATTTTCCAAGTTTGGAGAGGAGAGAAGGGGAAGCTGTGGTGAAACTGACTCAAGTTCTATTTGGGACAACTACAATTGTTT